GAAGTGCAGTCCTGGAACCGGTAGAGAGAAAGCCAGGAGGTGGGAATCCTTTCAGCGTCTCTGGTTGTTGCTGGCTCTTGGTCCCTGGTATTTAGCAACCATCACCCCTCATGGCCACAAATACACATTTTGCTCTCCCCAACTCGGCTTCACGGGAGTGGCAGCTGTGATGAGGTCCACTTGTTTTGTTTTTGTTGTTAGGTGCCGTCGAGGCAGCTGCGACTCATAGCGACCCTATCTATGTACCACAGAAGGAAACACTGCGGGGGTCCTGCGCCATGCCCACAATCGCTGTTACGCTTGAGCCCATTGCTGTAGCCACTGTGTCAATCCATCTTGTTGAGGGTCTTCCTCTTTTCCGCTGACCCTGTACTCTACCAAGCATGATCTCCTTCTCCAGGGACTGATCCCTCCTGACAACATGTCCGAAGTACATAAGACGTAGGTCTCGCCATCCTTGCCTCCAAGGAGCACTCTGGCTGTAGTTAGCAAGGTTTATTCATTATTTATTGGAAGCAGCTATACTAGGTGCTGAGGAATACTTTGGTGAACAAAGTGTCTGTTCTCTTAGCTCTCACAGTGTAATGAGGTGATCAGTGGGAGTAATGGTAATAATAACTAGCTCATTTAGAGCTGTTTGTCAGGAATTTAATCCTCAAAACTTTAAGAAATAGGTACAATATTGTTATCCGCATCTCACAGATGAGGAAACTGAGGCATGAAGAGGTTTAATAACTTGTCCAACTTCACATAGCCAGAAAAGGGGCAGAGCTGAGACTTGAAACCTAGATCTAGTCTAGAAGGCATGTGATTAACAACCACTCAAGAGGGAACGGTGCAGATATAGCTAGGAAGGGCATCTACTCTAGACTTGAAAGTCAGAAAAAGACTCCTGGAAGACATGTTTAAATTTTATCTATACTAAGACCTAAAGAAAGAGTAACTTTGGCCAAGAGATTGGGCGAAGGAGGTGGAGGTAGAAGGCAGAGTTATTCTGGAAAGAAGAAACAACCTGTGCAAAGGTTAAGACATGATTAAGGGAAGAGAATGGACTCTGCTACATCCAGGTTTCTGCCTGGATGATTGAGTGCCATTCACTAAAAGGAAAAACCACAGGATGGGAGCACATTTTGGGGGCAGGGCAGAACTTTGAGGTGCTTGGGGACATCCGGATGAAGATGGCCAGGAGGCATCTAGCACAGAGTTTTGGCAGATATTGTTTACCTAGTGTCTTGTCTAGATTATATACTTCCTAAGGGAAGGGGCTGTGTCTTATATATCCTTGCATCTCTCATAGATTTATCACTAGATAAACTCTTGGTAAGGAAGGGAAGACTGGGCTACCCTCTTAGAGCCCTCAAGAAGTTTGCAATTTTGCTGAGGAATTGACATCAGAGAAACATTTTAGAGAACAGCATATGCCAGAACACATGGTAAAGGCAATCCTTGTTTGTGGAGGTCAAAATGGAAAGAAAAAGAATCATGAAGAAGAAGCCCAAGAAGGCTACCACTGATTGATTACTATGTAACCCTCACCATCAGTTGAGGGTAGGCATTGTGAACCTCATTTTATAGATGAAGAGACTTGATGAAATACCGAGATGCCCATGTCTTGATCCAAAGCAAGGGAGGGAACCAGTTGTCTAAGTTCTTTCCATTATGCTGGAGTCTTAGTTCCTGTTCCCCATGGGAATGGACTGTCTCTTCAAAGCTCCCCAGTCTGGTCCTCCTAACCTCTATTCAATCTTCCCCCTCACACTTGGATCCCCGATTTCTTTCCTTTTTCCACTCAAGCTCTTTAGTCCTACCCTGTCCTTATGCCTAGTACTCCATCATGGCAACTTTAAGACACTTTAAAACAGTAACGAGTTGCCATCAAGTTGGTTCAAACTCATGGTGACCCCATGTGTGTCAGAGTAGAACTGTGTGCTCCATAAAGTTTTCAATGGCTGATTTTTCAGAAGTAGATCTCCAGGCCTTCTCCCCACCACCACCCCGCCCCCTCTCCACGCCTCTGGGTGGACTCAAACTTCCAACCTCTCCATTAACGGCCAAGCTTGTTAACTATTTGCACACCCAGGGACTCCTAAGACACTCTAAAAAAAAAAAAAACCAAAACCATTTCCGTTAATTCCGACTCATAGTGACCTGAGCAGGTGGTGGATTTGAACTGCTGACCTTTTGCTTAGCAGCCAAGCTCTTAACCACTGCACCACCAGGGCTCCATAGTGACTTTGTCGTTGTTAGGTGCCATCAAGTTTGTTCCAACTCATAGTGACCCTATGTACAACAGAACGCAACACTGCCTGGTTCTGCGCCATCCTCACAATCATTGTTATGCTTGAGCCCATTGTTGCAGCCACTGTGTCAATCCAGCTCCTTGAGGGTCTTCCTCTTTTTCGCTGACCCTGTATTTTACCGAGCATGATGTCCTTCTCCAGAGACTGATCCCTCCTGACAACATGTCCAAATTATGTAAGATGGACTGTTTAATGAGAAACTATTTTTCAGTAAACCTTCACCTAAAGTACAATTAAAAAAAAACAAAGTATGTAAGACGTAGTCTTGCCAACCTTGCTTCTAATGAGCGTTCTGGTTGTACTTCTTCCAAGACAGATTTGTTTGTTCTTTTGGCAGTCCATGATATAGTCAATATTCTTCGCCAACACAATTCAAAGGCATCAATCCTTCTTCTGTCTTCCTTATTCGTTGTCTAGCAACTCTAGTGGGCTCTAATTTCGGAGAGGGCGCCAGTGCTCTTCTATCCTGCCTGAGAAGCTCAAGAATGGAGGAAACACCCATATTTCCCCAGACCCCATTCATTCAGTCAGCAAACGTGGTGTGTGCCAAGCACCATTAGGCACTGGCAACACAAGAATGAGCAAGATCTAATCCCCGCAAACATTTTCAATCTAGTGGATATTTGTCTGTTGACCCCCAAGGCTTTGGGATCAAGAAATAAGCCTAGAGAAACTAAGGTCTGGGAAGAGGAGTTCAGAACCAGGAAATGTTAAGCACCTAGTGGCATCCTCGCACCATGGCATCCTTCTGCTCTGCTCTCTGCCTGTGCCCAGGATCACACCTGAAGACCAGGGATAGTCCCACATCTAGGCTTCTCCCCTTGCAATTTGCTGCCTCCAGCTCAGGCATTTGAAGGTAGATTTCTCATCCCATGTTTACTGCTGCAACTTCAAGCCAAGCCCACTCCCAGACTTCTAAGACCCTGTAGATCGAAAAGCATAGCTGGGAATTCAGACACCCAGATTCATCTCTGTACATAGTGGCTTCCAGCCCTAACCCCTCCTTCTCCTCTCCCAGCCAGAAAACCAAACCCATTGCCTTTAAGTTGATTCTGACTCATAGTGACCCTATAAGACAGGTTAGAAGTGCTCCACAGGGTTTCCAAGGAGCAGCTGGTGGATTCAGACTGCCAACCTTTTGGATAGCAGCTGAGCTCTTAACCACTGCGCCACCAGGGCTCTCCCAGCAGCCCATGCCTTTTCCAGCCTGCTGACTACCTTAGCCTTTTCAGCTCCCAATTTCAACCTCACACTCTTGCCAGTTGAGTCTAACCCTTCCTCTCTCAGTGCTTCTCACCACCTCCCCTCCTTCTCAGACTGTCCCTGGCTTCTTCCCCTCCTAGTCTGTTCCTAACCCCCTGGTCAATTCCTCAGAGTCTTCTTGATCCCTTGCAGGAGTCCAGCCTGTTGCTTCCCTCCATAGCTTCTTTAAACCTTTTCTTTAGGTTACCTCCAGTAGCTGGGGCTCCTCTAGGCTCATGTTCTCCATCTCCTTCCCCTTTGGGCTCTCTGAGCTCCCACCAAGGCTGACTCTTGTTGCTATCTCTCCTTCCCACAGGAGTCTCTCTCTCCCCTTCTCTGCCTTTCCCTGATCCTCTGGTCTACCTCCTCAGGGGCTCCCTGGGTATCTAATAGTCTCTGCCTCTCTAGTTGTGACCTCCTTCCTCCCCCTCTTGGTCTCACCCTCTCCTTCCAGGGTTCAGGTCTTTGTCCCACCAGTTCCTGAGCCCCTGTTCCCATCTCCGTGCCTCCCTGATCTCTCGTGGTCTGGCTCTGTAGACCTCTCTATCCCTCCCCTGTCTAGCCATAGCTCTCTCTCCTCGCTCTGGTTTCTCCAGTCTTTGGCTCTGGCTCTCTGACTCTAACTTTCCCACTAGTTATCCCTGTATCTTTTCTTCTCTGTCTCTGTCTCCCTACAGACGTACAGTCTCTGTCTGTCTAGCTAAATTTGTCCTCTCTGTCTCTTCCCCCCTTTGATAATCTCTTTTCCCTCTTTGTCTCTCCCTCTCTCCTCCTCCTCTTCCCCCTTTAACTCACTGTCTCTCCTTGGTATCCCTGACTCTGACTTTCCCTCTCTTTCTCCCTTGCCCACCCCCCCCAGTATCTCTCTCTCTCCATCTCTGGGCCCTCGCTCCCTCCCTCTCTCTCTTCCTCGGCTCTCTCCGGCTCCCTCTCTCGCCTCGGATGACAGCGCTGCCTCTTTTGTTGGCTCCGCAGCCAATCGCGGCCGCTGACGACACGGGGGCCGGGGCTATAAAGGGCCCGGCCCGGGCTCGGGCCC